ATACCAGAGTCTGCGCTTTACAGACTAAGTCGATATATTCGGAGGGCATCGCATTTAGCTGGGTTATTACTGACCGTTCTTTGATCGTTTCTAACTGAAGCTCCAGCTTTTTGATTAATATCGCATTAAATTCTGGTTCAAAAGCGATGAGAGCTCGGTGAAGTCAAGAAAAACAGCGTAACAGAGTGAACTTTAAAGCTAGCAAAGATATCATTTCTCTACTGAAAAGAATTATGTCGAGTGTGCCGCACCATCCTTTCCCATCATATCAAAAAATGTCAAGGTACATGTCCGTTTAGGACCGATGATATGAGGCGAGACTACATCATGTGCCCCAAAACCTTCGACACACAGATGTATTTCAAACACTGAATTTGAGTCGACATTAGTACTTTTTTGCAACTGATTGCTCATGAATAAGGCTCTAATTTTGTGTAGGATAGGGTCTTATGCTTTATATTGATTGCAGATCATAAGATGATATGACACAAGATTGATTTACTGCTAGTATCTGGGAAAAATTCCATCATAGCGTAGAGTGTCGTCCTCAGGAAGTATTGGCAGACTCCCTCTTGCTTCCTTAGGCATGATGCAGTGTATAAACCTGCAAGACTACAAATTTAAAATGTGTTGCAGGTCTGGACGACACCATAGATACATTTTTATGAGTGGCTGAGATCCCGCCCAGCAATGAAGTTGTGAGTCTGAAAACATTCTGGATCGAGTGCGAGTCAACAACGATAGGTGTCACGCATTACTCATTTTCTGAAACTTTGATGAGTCATGATTCCACCTTTGCTAGAGTGCAAAAGCGATTTCGGTGCAAGCTCCAAGCGGTTACAGTTTAGAGTTTAGAGAACATGGCATTACGACTCAAATCAGCTTCAAAAAGCAGATTTTTAATTCATCTTTTAAGAGCAGCGGTCATTCGTGCTACAGTGTAAACTCATGTGCTGGAGAGCTGTTTCTCGCAATTACCAGAGCATGAGCAAATTTCACAGTACTTCTAATAATATCCAATCATTGCATTAAAAACTTGTCAGAATTTGAATTTATACGTCTTCCTTTCATGAAACGATCGCATAGTCAAAACAAGACTGCCAAGAAACCACGAATCGTGTGTGATTCATCTCCTCTTGATCAAGAAGAAATCAAATCATTCATTCATGATGGATTTGTACTGCTTCGTAAAGCTTTTACACCAGTAACAGCGCGAAAATGTCGAGAATTAATCTGGGAGCGGCTCGCACAAGATGGAATTGGAAAGGATCCGTCTACTTGGGTGGAAAGGCACGGCATTCCAGGTGCGACGTCTCTAATCTTGAAAATGAATAGATGATGTTTACTTATAATATCTCTATTGACTAGAGTTATACACCGTGGAGAATAACCCTGTGTGGGATGACGTGCTGACTCGACGTCTGAAAAGCGCAATTGATCAAATTTGCGGTCAGGGTCGATGGGAAGATTTTGGTCTTGGATGGTGGATGATTACTTTTCCAGAACAATCAAAGCCACCATGGGATGCTGCTGGGAAATGGCATGTCGATGGTGCATCGTATCAGCACCACATTGATAGCAAGGAATCTGGACTTGTGGCAATCTTTCTCTTTACAGACATTAATCCTGGTGAAGGTGGTACAGCATTATCTGTTGGATCACATAAGAATGTTGCAAGATTATTGGCAGTGAATGAACCGCGAGGAATGAAAGGTGGGGCTGTGAGTCATGAGGCTCGAAAGTTTGAACATCAGAATGTGGTGGAAGTGAATGGCAAGGCTGGTGATGTCATGTTGGTGCATCCGTTTTTGTTACATGCTCGTAGCAAGAATTTAGGACAAAAGGGAGTGGATTCTGTGCGTATTATGTGCAATCCAAATGTAAAGCTGCATCATAGAATGAACTTGAATCGTGTAGACGAGAATTACAGTCCCGTGGAGAAGGCTATAATCGATGCTTTAGATATATAATAACTAGATAAATTCAATACTATAGCGTTGATTTTGCTATCTCTAGAGTGATTTATTTGTAAAAGACAAAAGAACTGGGATTTTTTTGTCTAACAATTGTGCTAATCGTTAAACCCAAGTTGTTGGAATTTGTGCGTCTAAATTAAGATTTTGTTTGATGTATTAATCTATTTTCAAATCTTAAGCTAAATTTGGAAGACTTAAAGTTGTAAACGTACAAGTTGTGAAGAGTTCAAAGCTCACAGCACGAACTTTGTAGCTTTGATCATGGGATGTGGTGCTTCTGTCGTCCAAGTTCATGATGATGCGAAGATTGTACCTCAAACACTTGTTCACACAACTGCATCAACTCCTTCAAAAGGTGTACGATCACCTCTTACAAAAGATCAAATTAATTCTCGTATAGTTTGCTCGCCAAAAACTATCAAGACGAAAGTAACGTCAAAGCTCAATATACAATACGCTTTTGTATCGCAACGTGGTTATTATCCTGATGGTAAAGTAGAAATTTCTATATCTTTCAATCTTATCAATTACTTTACTTTGTCATTCTTTCTTGTATTTAGCTTTGGATAAACCAAATCAAGACTGTTGTACGATCGTTCCAGCTTTTATGGGAGACACTTCTAAAATGTACTTTGGAGTGTTTGATGGACATGGTACAACGGGTGATTTGTGTGCATCGTTTGTACGCAACGAATGTCCGGATAGACTCGTTCGAATTCTTGAACAGAAAACTTGTTCATTTCTTGATGCATTTTCAAAGTCTTTTGAAGAAACAAATGCTCGTTTACATGCATCACGTATTGATGATAGTTTGAGTGGAACAACTGCTATTTGTATGTTTTTAGACGGTGAAACAATTCATATTGCAAATGTTGGGGACTCTCGAGCAATTATTGGGACAATGAATGACGGAACTTTACTTGCACAACCTTTATCTGTTGATCAAACTCCTTATCGAACAGTACGGATACTTTTTCATGATGTCTGTGCATTTTTTCTAATTTGTACGCTTTTAAATAGGATGAACGTGAACGTGTAAAGAAATTTGGAGCTCGTGTGCTTACAATGGATCAGCTAGAAGGAATTGCTCCTATACATGATGTAAGTTTGATTTAATGTTTTCAGAAAGATATTTGAATTAAAATGATTTGTACATTTAGAATTGGGCTGCCAATTTAAACGATCAAGTAGATGAAGATGGCGATCCACCGCGAATTTGGTCTCCTTTTGGTGCTTTTCCTGGTACAGCTTTTACACGTAGCATTGGTGATGAAATTGCAGAAACACTTGGAGTGATTGGAATTCCTGAAATTACGTCACTACAGATTACAACGGATGATCGATTTCTTGTGATTGCTAGTGATGGTGTATTTGAATTTTTAACAAGTCAAGCAGTTGTAGATATGGTAGCACAATATGAAGATCCTTTGGAAGCTTGTCACAAGATAGTTGCAGAGTCTTATCGTTTATGGTTAACGTATGAATTACGTACGGATGATATTACTATCATTTGTGTTTATTTGAATCTTAATGAAGAGGTCACGACAGCTGAAACATTACTTGAACGAAAGACTTTAAGCTTTAAACGAATTCCACGACAAAGCAGTCAAGAAGAAATTGCACAACAACTTCGTCCTGTACGTCGTGGAATGTCGAAAGAAAAACGTCGGGCACAGATGCGAAAGGATATGGCTGAGCTTGTTAAAGATGAAGACTTAGCATATCGTGTGAGTGACCACGCGATACCAAAGTCATCAAGTGAGATGCGTTTACTTGAAGCCTTAACAAGAAATAATTGGTTGTTTCGACAGCTTACACAAGCTCAGAAAGATGATATTTTTGCAGTCATGGAACGCATTCTTGTTCGGGAAGGAGATTTAGTGATACGACAAGGTGATGTTGGTGACAAATTTTATATCGTTGAATGTGGAGACTATCAAGTTAGTGTACGTGGAGAGGATGGAGGTCTGGAAAGTATTGTACACACATACACTCAACCCAGTGTGACTCCCGATCAATACGACAATTTACAACCAGCGTCATTTGGTGAACTTGCATTAATGCATAATAGTCCACGATCTTCTTCTGTTAAAGCATTATCAGAAGGTGTTCTTTGGGCTATTGATTGTCGTGCATTTCGACGCGTTTTTATGAAAGCACCAACGTCTGTACTCGTTCAAACGCTTAAACGAGTTGATGTACTTAAATCACTTACAAAAGCTCAGCTTGAACGCTTGGCGAACAATCTTACTGAAGTTGTGTATCAAGACGGTGACTATATTATTAATCAAGGTGATGTTGGTCATACATTTTACGTAATTCAAGAAGGAGCTGTGACGTGCACAATATGGGAAGAACCTGCTACTAATCCAAAAGTTGCTCGAGAAGTCTTGCGTTTAAAAAAGAATCAATACTTTGGTGAACGTGCACTTTTAAATGATGCACCACGAGCTGCAAATGTCATTTCTGTAGGTCGAACAAAGTTATTGCAAGTTGAAAGACGTGAGTTTGAAGAAGTTCTTGGATCGTTGCAAGAAATGATTGAAACGTATCGTTTACAACGTGAAGCTCGACATAATTTTGAGACTGCTGTAAAGAATTTAATTTTTAGTCCAGTGGTCCATTTGTCACGACGTTCTACGGTTGTTGGAATTCTTCAATTGCAAGATCTTCGCTTTTGTTATGTTGTTCAAACCACTGACTTTGGCTTTTTAGCATTATATCAAAGTATTCACGATATCAAACGTTTCTATACTCTTCACGTCTTTTCCTTTCAACAAATTGCACTTGATCGTCGTGGTGATGAAGCTGCACGATATGTCATTAGTCATAAAAATTTACGTCTTAAGACACCGTTGCTTCCTGAAATGGTAGCAACTTGGCGCGATGAATGTGCTTTATACTTGTCTTTTGATACTGTGATGATTACAGACTTGGCTACGATGCTTAGTGATGAACCAACTGGTCGGTTTACAAATGAAGCAACGGTGCGTTGTTTTGCAGCACAGATTTTGTTGATACTTGAGTATATGCATCAAGGTGATTACGCTTATCGCAATCTTAGTAGTGAAACGATTGGTATTGATATACATGGTTATCTTTTACTCCATGACTTTCGACATATGAAACGATTGCCAGATGAGATTCGAACGTATACCATCTGTGGAACACCGGAATATATGGCACCAGAGATGATCTCAGCACGTGGTCACACTTGTACTGTCGATTTTTGGTCGCTTGGAATCCTGATTTACGAAATGTTATGCGGTCGTACACCGTTTTCGGTTGAAACAAAGAAAGAAAATGCTTTTATGAAAGTAGTGGACACAAATTCGGACTCTGATAGACATTCTACACTACGACTTACAAATGAAAAAGATGTGACAATGGCTATCTATTCCAAGATCTCACGACATCGAAAAGGATTGGTCACTTTTCCATGTGATAATTTATCACTTGAAGCGTGTGACCTCATTCAGCAGCTTCTTGATCCATTTCCAGACGATCGTTTAGGTGGACAAGGTCTTGTTGATCTTGTTCATGGAGGATCTATCATTCGTGCTCATCCATGGTTTCAAGATATTGATTGGGTTGTCTTAGCATCAAAGACCGTTGATCAAGAACATGCTCAAGCATTGTCAAAGTTCATGTACGATCAAGTAGATTCAAATGGGAATATGGAAATGCCATTCTTTGAATCTTTAGCTTGGAGTCATGAAGATCTCGAATGGCTCGAAAGATTTTAAAGAAGGCTTGAAAGGTCGGGTTGAATCTTTTAAGATTTTAATTATATTTGAAATATGAAAGACTCCAAGACTCCGCCTGAAGGTACACGTCCTTTAATGATATCAATGCGTGAAATGGAAACGTTAGGACTTAAAACTGGAAGTGGGTTACGTGATACTGTGGAGTATCGAATCTTTTCACGTCAAAATGTATTGAATGAGATTGCTCAAGTGGGTTTTATGAGTCCATTTCATACATTTCGTACTGAAATTCGTAACATCACTTTTGGAGATGATCTTCTTGTCATTGCTGATCGAGAAGAAAAGTATGGTGAAAATTGGTTATTGTGTTTGACTGAACAAGCATTTGAAAGTCAACTGGAGCAGCTAAAATATCGAGAGAAAGATCATGTGGAGATACAAGAGAAAGACAAAAGCGATGACGTTGATGAGTTTGATATTTCGATGATTGTATATGAAGACAAACCAATACTAACACGTCCTTGGTCTTCACCTACAATACGAGAGACGTATGAACAAGTCCTTGGGCTAAATATCAGATCTACTCGTCCTTTGGTAAAAGTTTCAAATTTAGATATTTCGATTTCGGACGTGGAGTTAATTATGTATTGTGTTTTTTATAGATTGCAATGTCAGTCACAAAAATATCTGACGAGTTGAATGCTGAGTACAAATTTAGCGATCGGGATGCAGATCAGTGTACGCAATTTTGACGCAATTTTGACGCAATTTGCATCATTTTTTTAGTAAAACGAATTCTATTCTTTGGTTTTAGGTTTTGTGGAGTGGCGACAGCATAAAGACCCAAATTACGAATTAATTCGGGCTGAACAAGATGTGGGTCTTCAATGCACATTGCCATTAGTGGACAATTCAACCCAAACGAGTTGGTTTCGGTCAATTAATAGTGCACTTCAATATGAGCCAATGATTCTGTCAACAGCGCAATGTCAAGTTGAAATGGAGAGTGATAAGATGCACGAATTTTTAACACGTGTTTTGCCATTAATTGAGCGAGTGTTGCAGCAAAATGAGGCACTTGATGTGTTTTTAGACCCATTTGCTCATTTATTGGAAGAAGAGGACACTTTGATAAACACTCAAACTCATGAAAATGGGATGCGAGAGTTACGAAGTTTTACGGATCTCGTTTATAGTAAAAACAAGACATTACGAGCAATTGATTGGCATCCAAAACGATATGGGATTGTTGCAGTAGCAGCAACAACAAATGCATCATTTGCTAAACGTCTTGATCTTTTTGATACTATTGAAAGCTCATATATTCTCATTTGGAACTTTGTGGACCTAATTCATCCCCAAATTATGCTGGAATCCCCGCAAGATGTTATGACAATGCGATTTAACCCAACAGCTCCACATATTGTCGCGGCTGGGTTATATAACGGTCAAGTGCTCGTATGGGATTTTTTGAAAATGGAATCGATTCTTTTAAATACAAAACCACCAAAAACGTCAACGACAGATAGTTCGTCCTCTATGAGAAATGATACACGCAAAGCGACACCTGTGAAACCACTTTATGTATCGTATATTGACGTTAGTCATCGTCGACCTGTTGCTGATCTACAGTGGCTACCAGCTGGAGTCGAAATAAATAGTCGTGGCCATATTGTGATTTCACCCAATTCTGATACTGTGACACAATTTGTGACAATTAGTGCTGATGGACAAGTGTTGTTTTGGGATTTACGTTTTAAAGATCCCAAATATGGTCATTCAATTCGTTCGAAAGTTGACAAAAGTGGGTCAAAAGATGGCACATTTGATGTGCCATTTGTACCCATTTATTCAATTACTCTGACAAAACCCGATGGTCCTGGGGAATTGGCACTACAATCAATTTGGCTTGAAAAAAATCACGAAGAAAGTAAAAATGGTAGTGAAAGTCGATTGTCACTTACAAGCAAATTTTATTGTGGTACTGAAGAAGGCGAATTCGTCTATGTAGATTGGCGCCCTCATGCTTTATTACGAGGAAATGGCAGTAAAAATGACGATATTGGGCGAGGAGACAATCGAAATGTCGAGTATGTGCAATGGTTATGTCGTGACCATACTCGTCCAATTTTTGGTCTTTTTGCATCCCCATTTTTTCCAACTATCTTTTTGACAGCAAGTGAAACCCATTTTCATCTTTGGGATGTTTCACATCCAATTGACGAAAGTGCAAAAGATACTGCAAATGCAACAAATGGTCCTATGTTTGTGTCACCTCTCACACAGTCATCTATTACATGTGTTGCATTTTCACCCACTCGTCCTGGTGTCCTTTTTCTTGGAAAAGCGGATGGAAATCTCGAAATTTGGGATTTTATGGATCAATCGCATCGATCGAGTCTTTTAATTGGAATCACAGCTTGTGCTCTAACATCAATGGAGTTTCGTTCTCAAATTGTACCAAGTAATAATCCACTTGGTGGTACAATTAATGCCACTGGTACTGGAACTGTGACGAATCGTGCAAAAGCAACAAAAAGTGCCACTGGTGCACGTGGACGTACCACGGGTCCGGTACCACTTGGTACAACGAATATGAAGCAACAACTTGTTGCAGTTGGTGATCAAATGGGAAATTTACACATTTTAGAAATCCCACGAGTTTTGTCAAGACCAGCAAGTGGCGAACGTGGAGCAATGGAAATGTACTTTAAACGGGAAAGTGAACGCATGAGAACTGGACGGAATGATTGTAAAGTGGATGGGACAATAAATGTACGACAGAAAACTGGTGATGACGTTACTGTATTTGGAACAGAGAGTGGAAGTTCGGAGAAAGAGATTGATGCAACAAGTACTGGAACAATTGACAGTTTTCAACAAATGGAGACTGAATTTTGTCGTGAAATGGGACTTGAAACGTCAAAACGGTGATTTGGCAAGTAAAATTCTAAAAGAGAATTGTTTACTTTGTATCCGTTATAGAAGGTTATACATTATCAGATATTCCACTTCAAAATATAAATCTAACAACAAAATGCATTTGTACAGTATCTAAATTCATTATTTCAATACCTCGAGTAAACTCAAGAGTTCCTCTCTTTCTCTCAATAAAGCCACGGAGATAATGAAGCAATCAACTTGACTCTTTTCCCTTTATCTTCATCACTTTTCTTTCTAATATCACGTTGAACCCATTTCTCATCAACACGACGTTGTAATTGCACTGCATCTTCTTGAGAAATCAAAAGAACTGGAATAGTTACATGTTTTCCTAATCCACGTCTATCATCAGCTAGTGAATATCGACGTTTTACCAATCGACTTGAAGCTGCTTTTGAATTAATTACGAGAACACCCAGAGCTCCAGCAGTTTGTAATCGAATAGCTTTTTCAGCAAAGGAACATGAACCACGAGATACCATCACAATCATTCCATGTACAAGTTTAGAGTTTATTGATCCACATGCATCATGAATTTCTTGTTGATAAAGAAGCAATGGAGCTTCGAGAAATGATGATGTTGTGACTTGAAGACCAAATGAAGCAGGAGAAGCTACAAATGTCATGAGATGCACATTCTTTACACGTATAGCTACTCCAACAGGAATGACAGAACGTGTTCTTTCACTTTGTCTTGCTGCTTCGAGTTCCATATTGCGTAGATAAGTTTGTATTTTTCCAATTTCACACTTTGAAACATCACTTGCTTTCTGCTTAATTGATCCTCGAAATAAATGCGAGTCAAGTATCAAGATATGACCTTCTGTACTAAATACAACATCAGCTGCTTTCAATGGTTTATTCTTTTGTCTAGTCGAAGTTGTGGAATTGTTGATACAAGTCGTGATCTTCTCTCTTTTATCAATCATTAGAGTACAAGTATCATTCTTGTGTTGTACTGATGATGGTACAATGACATCAGGATCATCACTAAAAAGTAAGTAAAGATACTTTGCTGTTTCCGAAAGAAAATAACTATCCATACGATCTTCAACGTCAAGTGTATGAATATTTCCCACACCAGCATATCCACATGGAACTTTTGAGACACGACGAATATCTTGCAGTATTTGTCGTCCCATTTTCAAATACTTGTGATCTTTTGTAGCTTGATATAAATGATACGTACTTTCAATTAATTCTGGACGAAGTGGAGATGTACGTGCCCAATGAATGACAGTCCCACGATAACCAGGTCTTGACTTTCCATGTGGTGCTAATTCGAAAAGTTCAGGCATAGCACCATATTCATCCCAAAGTGAAAACATTTCTTCATGTGAACGAATAGCACCCGAGACATCACCAAAAAGTACTTGAAGTCCAGGCCAAAATGCTTGTAAAGCTGATACACGACGTGTACTAATATGATTCTTTCCATGATTCATATTAACTTCCAGATACACTTGATCATGTTTGACATGGGTTTCAACAGCATGATAACTTGCATTAAACATTGTAAACCATTGCAAGTCATTACTTATAAGATAATACTTAAGTAAATATTCAAAGAATGAATCTAAACCGGCTCCAATGCCTCCATAAGCATATAACCATTCACCTGATCCAACATCAATGGCACTTCCAAGCAAATTTAATTCCGATCGTCGTTCCCAAATTGCAACCACTGCTTCTTTTGCACGTCTTTCAAATCGTTGATCTCCAGACAAACGTGACAAGTAAGCCATTTCGACAAGTAAGGAACCAGCAGCAGCAGGACATGTAACATTAGCAGCTCGATCACTTAAAAGCACACCACGCTGTAAATTAACACGATGAACTGGTAAACCTGTAGGTGTTTCAAATGCTGGTAATATCCTTTGACCTAAATCTACAGCTAAGTCAAGAAGTTCACCATGATAGTCATGATCATCCATCATACCAAAATATTCTGAAGATGCTAACATATGTGCTGATAAAAGTCCACCAATAACTCGAATAGTCGACTCAAAGACTGATACAGTCACATTTCGATCAAAGGATACGGTAGTAATAACAAGATGTACCGCTCGTTTGAATTCATCTCGATCTCCAAGCACTGCTAACATATCGAGTGAATCGATAAGTGTTAATGAAAAACCTCCCAATACATCATCAAGATCACCACGTTCGCGACGATCCCACCGTCTTCCTGAACAACTTAAAGGTTTTAATTCATCCCAAGGATATGCATGTTCCATATAATTGCGATATCCATGGTAGAACATGTCACGTGCTTGTTGCTGAAGAAATTTTCGTTCAGAGTCATGCATGAGAGCTGAAGAAAGCACAAGGAAATGAACGAATAGTAATAGATAGAAATAATGTTGATGCATTGGATGCACTTTGGTGGTAAATTCACGTTTGAATGATCTGAATGCTTGTGACTACACGTTTGAGGATGTTTGCTGTCCATCCCGTGATGATGTATTCAGTTAAATCATGGACTGGCTTTCTATCGCTGGAAATAGTATGGACACAAGTGGTAAGAATAGATAGGTACTATAATTATGTGGTGTGATAAAGATAGTATCATGAGATATGGTAAAACGTGTAGATTACTTACTAGATTTATGCATTTGGATGGCAGACCAGAATACGCTCCTTACCAACTCGAACCCGAATTTGCAAGCGTAACTTGAAATTGTCGATGAGTACTGTCAAGGTTTTGACGCGAAGCTCAACTTGGTCAAGTCGGTGCTACTGAAATTATCATTTCATCAGAGGTTCCAGGCTCCGCTATTAGTCGAAGCGTGCCGTGCGTTTGTTGAAGCGGAATCTTCAAATCAAAGTCTCTTCTGTGCAAATTGCACGGCAACCCCGTCGCGCTTGATAGCATTGTATTTGATTCCACGGCCGAGTCGTGCGTGAAAATTCTTACAAAGGATGGGACATGAAATGTTCGAGTTTTCGCCTCCGCCATAACTAGACAAAGATTCTGTATTTTGGTCAAGACAACGTATAATGGCGACCAAAGGGCTGGAGCCAAATATGACTTGCCTGGAAGTACCATAAGCTTTCTAAATGCGCTGGTAGGATTTGCCCTAACAGGCACCGGTGAAAGGGTATCCCCAGTGAGGTCACTGATCGTGGGGCCAGGACTTTGAAAGCCGGGACGAAGAAATCTTTCCTCTAGGGGGGATTGGATAAAATGGCCATCAAATTGGCGAGACTCGAATTGGAGCAACAGCGCGTCGAGCTTGTGGTGTCGAATTTAGAAGACCGCGCGCAAGAATGAACTAAGGCGCAGTTCGAGAGTCAAGAGTTTTAATCAACTTGAATGATTTGAAGCGACAAATGACGCGGGTGTTTGCACCGCCTAAACAGGCATACAAGGGTAATTGAAGTTCTTGCTCAGCCGCCAAGAAAGTCGAGAAGTAGTTGACTATGCCCCGAGTTTAAGAACTCTTATCGCTAAAAATTGTGTCTGATCCTCTTCGAAGGCACTGGCTGCGATTACGTGTATGGTCGCTGGCACGTGGAAAACGGCCCAGCATTGCCCTGATTTGCCGCACCCAAAACACTTCGAGGTGGCCTGGATTCGAGAGCCGCGGTTCGGGGAGTGACCACGGCCGGAAGGTACACTGATGGTGTCTCTAACGGTGTTACTCGTACCATGGTAAGAAGGGGTGAGTTACGCAAGATGATGTGCCACAACGTGGCTGGACTGCCAGTGGTTATGCATTTTAATTGGCTTACTATTTGAATCTAACCTATAAATTTAGATATAGGCGGCTCTGCCGCATAAAAGCCAAAAGAAATACAGTTTGGATTTTGAACGTTAGAGTATATTTGCCTCGGGTAAGACTGCGGATACTTTGAGAGTTAGCGGATTGCGCTTCGCTACACTCATACTGGTCTAGTATAGAAAGTAAGGTCGGTGACCTTAGCTTGGCTTCCTCTAAGCAAAGAGCTACGGCAGTCCTGCTGCAGTGTCGATCTTTGCTGAACTGATGCCGGCCTCGCCTTTTGGAAAGGAAAACGTAACGGTATAGCCGTTCCATTGAACGAGAGGAAACGCTCTCTCAATCGTCTTGGGACCTGCATGCTTGAGCACCTATGGCGTCAGGATGAACCTTAGCCATACTGAGAAAGCGATATTGCTACACAGTTTTGCGAACCCGCGGGTTTTCATTTGCGGTTGTACAGAACATCCTCACCTTTTGTGTCCCCCTCCACTCTGGCTAAGACGTACGAAAAACAGGGGTCAGCGTAAGGACGGGAGACGATCCCTTTGTGGAAAACGTCAAATTCTAGCAGATGCAGGCGATCAACTGAGAATGTGTCAGGTTTTTCTGTACCTAATGGCGGTCGCTGTCAAAAAGACCCAGCTCTCAAAGAATCGAGTCTCTTTAAAAATAGTGGGTCTCACAGTCAAGGCTTTTCAGCTGTCGCTTTCCCGGATTACTTAGAAGCCGTGGTAAATTCTGCTCGATTTACATGCGCCGTGCAATTAAGTATAATGCAAATAAGAACGCATGATTATTCCAAAATAGAATCCAGTAAGCGGAGACTTGGACATACCACGAAAACGTGCATTCTGCGACGAGGCACGCAATAGTATCGGACTTTATTTCTGTCCTCAACTGGGTTCCGGGAACTTTGATAAGTAGAGCAATGTCTATCCTATACTAGATTCAAGCTATAATCTCATTCTTACCATGGCGTGAATGAAAAAACATGACCTATGGGTCAATTGGAGGTAGGAAAAGGTTCGTGTCGT